CCATGTCGAATTAGTTTTTAAAATTCAATTTTGCCAGAATTAATTTCTAAAGTAAAATTTTTTACCGTAGGTTAATTTTGACATTTAAAAAAAATTAGAAGTAAAGGGAGAAAATTTTGAAGGTGCAAGGAGAAACTCCCACACTTTGTTATTGAACTTTTATACTTTAATAGATTTTAACGTTAAATTTTTAATTTTTGGACTTTTATTATGAAGCTTTCAAATTTTAAAATTTTGCAATTGAATTTTCAATTTTACGTTTCTATCATTTAGATTTTAATTTCCTAACTGTATGCTAATATAATTAAAAAATAAGTTAAAAATTAGAATATTTAGACCCATATTTTTTATTTATTATAATCATGTTTAAAATCTTACCTAATTCAAATTTCTAACATTTTATTTAGATTAATGTTCAGATAGTGTTAAAACATGTTCTACATCCATAGAAAGTTATATTATAAGAAATAAAAAGAAGAAAATAAAATAAAATTCTTCTCAAATGAAAATTAATTTATATAAAATATTTAAAAGTTATATGAGAAAATTTTTAATAGGACACTTTTGACAAATAAGAAAACAATAAGAATAAGACGATGCGACCTTAAATTAATTTTTTGTTGTTTTAAACAGTGGTTATCTATATATATATATATATATATATATATATATATATATGAAAATTTTCTTTTGCATTTCTTTGAAAGTGAACTTTAAGTTTGCTAGTAATTAAAAATTCGTCCATCTTATTCTATTCATGAATTTGATAAGGTTTAATTTGTCATCAACACCACTAATATGTCTCACATAAGAAAGTTTTACTAAATTTTGGTTGTCTAATTGAACTATTAATAAAATGAAACATTTTTAACCTTTACATGTCGAAACACTTACTTCCTTAAGAAAATAACTCTTTTGATAACTATGAATAGAAAATAAAATGAAGTATAAATATTAATAACAACTGTCACTCAATTCGATAAAAAAAAAAAGAATGTTAGTTAATAAAAATAAATGAATCCATATGATACTCCTAATTTCATAAACATGATAATGTAAGTTTTTTAAAATTATTTATTTAAAAAAAATAAGTTTGGTGAAATAATTATGATTAAGATAAGTTATAATTCATATTATAAAAGTCATGTTTATTATGATTGTTTTTATTTTTGTTGAATGATTAATAGCTTATTTAGAAAACATCTTGTATGGTAACTGAGGTGAATTTTGAGATAAATAATTTATTACACCCTTAACTTTGATATTATTTGATAAAAATGATTTTGTATTTTTTTATTTATTTTACTTTAAGGTTGGCCTAAGAAGACAAAGATTCCTTTAACTCCATTACTGAATTCTGTTGAAAACAAAATTGCAATTATGCTTTTGAATTCCTCTCCCTTGACGATTACTTTCTATCATAGAAAACCATTTTCTTCAAATGCTCTTATCTTGCACCATTCTTTCCCACTCCCACAGTCACCCTCTTCTTCTTCGTTGTGCCTCAGCGTCGAACCCATTTTCACAAACTCCTTCACTTGCACTCTCACACATTCACCTACCCAGATGTACGTGTACCCTGACCCAATTCCCGAATTTGCAGAATCCGTGAGTACATGCATTTTGCCGTGTAAATTTGCCCATGCTGAAACCTCATGCTGTTTATTGATTCCATTATTTGAGGTATGTTGCAGGAGAGCCAGAAGTTCAAAGTTGAACTCTTTCAGAAGCTTTCGGAGGACGTGGACGAGTTCGGGGATGACCTCGATGAGGTTGTTGCCGTTTGCACTCAGGTCAATGTCGTTTTCCTTTTCAAAAACTTAACTTTATGGCGAAAACTTTTGTGGGTGTTGTTTGGTTCTTGTTTTCTTCTAAAGTTTCATCAATTATATTTGGTGTAAAAAATAATAAAGAAAATAAAAAGAACTCATTCGAATGTTTGGAAGTAATTGCTGGTACTCAGATTTGTTGATTGTACTTGAGTGCTAGGTGTTCGGGAAAACGACTGAATCGAGATATTATTCAAGCTTAATTGTACTTTGGTTCTGTAATTTAGCATTTCGATCTTATAGTTAGTCTTTTCGATCGATTTTGAACTAATTTTTCCTTGATGGCATTGAAGCTAACAAACTGTTTAACAGATATCATATGCTGACGTGATTTAGTTGCACCTCTTGGTTCTGCTAATTCTGATATCACAATCGTGAGGAACAAAAAATGTAATTAAGTTGTTCAATTATGTGTCAGGCAAGGCAACATGTTAGGTTTCACGTGAGCAAAACCTGTTAAATGTTTGATGGAAGACCAAGATAGAACTAAAATCACACAATTATAACTGTATAATTAAACTTATTATTTATTAAAATATAACAATAAATTTAAAATTATGTGGGATTAGGACATTTTCTGCAACTTTGTAAGTTTCCTGTTGTCCATTTTTTCCATCAGTTATATGTTTAACTTATACATCAATGATTGACTCTTTAGATTTTGGTATGATTTGATGGTGAGAGATTCTTATAACCTGGCTTACAGCTTATTAGGTCAATTCCTGCTGGAATTTATCTAGTCTATTATCTTCAGACTTCATTGTAGATGTGATATCAATTTGAAAAGCAATATATATTACTACTTTGATATGTCCTTTTTGCTCCACAATTTTACAAATCTTGTTTTGTACTCATTCACATTTATCAATTGCACATAATGGTATGAACACCCGTGTGTGTAGACATACACATCAATCAATCTCTCTCTCTCTCCTTTTCTTTTCTTCTAGTTTTTTATATGAAGTCTTCCAGTTTCTTAATTAGATTTTAATTGCATATTGATCAGTCTGCATTTCCGTTTTGTTATTCAATAGCTCAGAGGCAATTATTATATCTAAGGTAATATTTGACTATCTTTGTTTAAATAGATTGTTGTTTGTACCAGTTCACTATTTGAGTTAGAGTTAGGATGTACATGTTTTCTCTCTTAAGTGTTCCACATCATCTTTCTCTAGAGATTTAACGAAGTTGTTAGTAAAAGAAAATAATTCTTTATCTCTTGTTTCAATAATACGAAAAGGGGACATACTTGAAGGAAGTGTTATTAATGTTTTTTTTACTCATTGCATATAAGTGCAAAAACTTCTTTTGATTAAAAAGATAAATTACTGCAATGGTACTGTAATGGATTTAGTTAAAGACGAGGACGAGAGCAATGGATCATCTTGCATATAGACCAAGTTTCCCCATGAGTAAGCATCCTTTTACAAAATTATAATGAATAAATACTTAAAATAAACAATTTATATACACTGCATTTGTCTCTAGAGATTTTATAACAAACAAATGAAATTGAAACTTGAAAGATATGAATTAAATTCCTGATAATACCCCTGTTAATTGCCACATCTAAAGTTTAAGAAACATTCCTCTCGTTTCATAATTTGGTGGCCAGCATTCATACCTCAAAAAGAATTTGTTCACCGATGTTTGTTTCACTACTCTTTTCCTAGAAGCAATCACGTCAAATAAATAAAAATGCCACAACTTTTACTGATATCATTTTGTTCCAAATTTCAAGTGACATTTATATGCACCTCTTGTTTTCCCCTTTTGAGTTATCAAGTCTTAAGTTACGGGAAAATAGAAATTAAATATTCCTCAATGATTTGTCTAACAAATCTTAAGTTAGCTTTACCTGTCTACTCGTAACCACCATTTCGTTAATCTGGTTCAAATCTCCCCAAGTTGGGGTTCTCAACAATGTGTGGCTGAATTTTAAAAAATATCCTCATGTCATCATTTGATAGGACTTCAGTGTCAAGGATATAAGAAATTGATCTAAGCAAATCCTATCATAAAGTACGGTAAATCCCTGGTAAATCAAACAATACTTAATGGTAAGTTGGTAACAGCAACATTCCGAGTTTGGTACAATTGCAGCTTCATATATTCTTAGTATGTGATTGAATTTTAGTTAAAATTCTCAGTACGTGATTGAATTTTAGTTAAAAAATTAAGTTGAGTTGAACTTAATTGAAATTAAAAAATGTTGTTGTAATTTTTAAGTTAATTAAAATTTGAAGTGAATTTTGTTTCTAATTGGATCTAAAACAATGTTAAATATATTAACAGTGATCAATGAAAATTGAAAATTGGTTTAAGTCTTCCAACAGAAATCGAAACACACCCTCTAATTATGGATGTATCACTCTTGTGTCAATTTTTATTACCTACTAGTAGTTATGAACCCTGCGTAACTTGATGGAAATTGCTGGAGATTTTCTGGCCAATTCCCTGTTATTCCGTATCCAATCAAGATTTAAGGGCTAGGATTCCAAAGCCTTCATGAACTTCAAAATTGTAGTTCATTTCTATTAACATCAGATTTGATGTCTCTTAGCAAGCGTTGGGTTTTACAGAATCGTAGAGTAGGTATGTACAGAAGCTTAACAGATGTGAGGTGATATGTTTTGTATGTGTTTTGCATTCGATATAAAGTCTGACTTAGTTAACAAAGCACTTGCTTAGAAAAAGAATGCTTTTATGTCTTGGTTTCTCTTTGAACTCGATTAGTTATAATAATAATGTTGCCTTTTGTTGGAAACAGATTTTTAGTGAGTTTTTGCACAAGGACTATGGGGGTCCTGGGACATTGTTGGTGGAGCCATTCACGGATATGATGGTTGCTCTAAAGAAGAAGAAATTAGCAGGAGCAGCCCTGGCTGCAAGGGCATCACTATTATGGGCACAAAAATATGTTGATAAAGATTGGGATGTTTGGAACTCAACACTAAAATGACTTCTTCTTTACAGTTTTTTACTTTTGCAATGTAAAGATTTCTATTTGCTTGTAACATGTGAATGCTTCAACAAAAACAAAAGTAAATTCACTTGCAGTAGATTTTGACATTCACCATTTATTTAATTTTCCTCTTCTTCTTGGAGCTATACAATCATGATGTCCCAGGAAAATGGTTATTTAGTTGTTGAAGGTGAAGGTGTGATTGATGATGGAAGAGAATACTCTATTTCAAACCTTTGTTGAACTTCTTAGCCCATATATCAAGTATTCAGCTAGGAGGAGCATCAAGAAAGAGGCAATCAAACCATGCTCTTGAGACATCTTACATTCACATCCTAGCACAACTCAGCTGCTAGACTCTGAGATGCTTTGTAAAGAGGGACGCCATGATTTCAGCTTAAGCGCAGCATGTGTGGAATTCATTAGCCTGTATCTGTCTGCCCTCATTCCCTGAAACTCATTATGCAGTAACATCAGTACTCGTCAACTATAAAGACACAAACACAAAAAATGAAGACATAAATTGCATATAAGTAGCACCCTGCTTATGGTTTCTTTTTCTTAGTGCTCTTTGTTTCTGAAGGAGTGCTCCATATTATTATAACATCCTTCCTATGTTCTGTGTCATACCAGTAGCAAGTTAAGAACACTAAATATTTATACAAATTTTTTCACGAGTACTTATAAGAGAAGAAAAATGAGATGAATTTCTCCAAAGTATATACAAAATAATTTGTAGAACCTTTTGTATTTAGTTTTATTAAATATTAATTTTAACTAGACAGAAAAACTTGTTTACTTTTCTACCTCCTTTAAGTATTTCTATAGAATTTATCTAAATAAGACCTTGGTGCTGAGTGAATTATTAGATCCAAAGTGTTTATTCATGTCAAAATTCCCAACTTTATTAAAAAATGTTGTAAGCTTCAGGTTGATGCAGGTCATAGCTATAAGACGCTCAACCAAACACATCTAAGTCTTCCACAGAATCACTTTGGATAGATTGAAAAACTTGATAAAATAATATTCAACCAAAAAGAGAAAAAAAAATTGCTGATGAGTAACAGAAGCACACCTGATATATATTTCCTGTGTCCAACATCCCTCCAGTATCACCATCTGAACTTGCCTTTTCCAGTTGCATTATTTGCATACTATCCGCTGTCTTCCCATGAGGCTTCTTCATCTTTGCATGTTTCTTTGCTTTCAAAGCCTTCACAACGTCTGAAACCCAGAAACAGAAAAACCATTTAGAGCATTAAACTAACTAAACAAACGCATACCCTTCATAGTACATTGACCACTACATGTCTGTTGGAAACTCAGCCAAAAATCACATCAATTTAGCTTTAAAAAAAAAATTTTAACCACCAAGTTCTAGAAACACACAAGTTATTGCAACTGGCTTCACCATATACCTTGAGTAGTGACCAGCCTGTAAGCATGGCCAAGAGTTAGAGTCTCATTGGGGCGAAGCAGCTTCACTCGGGTGAAAAGCACTGTCTTCTGGTCCTGATTCTGCCCTTGTGGCACAGCCAATGGTATGATCAAAGACACATAATAGCCAGGATTAGTCCTCATAACCTCACTTGCACTGACTGGCCAGTACAACCTCTCTATCTTCCCAGATGGGTGTTGGATCACAAGAGCTGCAGCATCTACAGCTTGGCAATTCCCCATCTTAATCAACAAAGAACCAAAAGATGAACAATGGCTTCTGAACTGAAGAATGTGTGAAGAAGGAAGTGAGCAGTAATGAAAACTGAAAAGGGTCTTTTTCTGCACAGCTCTATCCCTGCACCCCACAGCAGTTGTATACCACAGTCTTTCTCTCCAAAATGGCCTTCCCAAGTCAATTTAAAGACAAGTTGGTATTAATGGGAGAAGGAGCACGAAGAAAATTATTGTGGACTTTGGCGTAATAATTATTATTGATGTAGTAAAATAATGTGACACTTAATATTTTATTTATTTTTATATATCTGGATATGACTGATCGGCACCGGCACGGGCCTCAGAAAAGGGTGGTAGTGCCACGTGGCGAGAGGAGAAAGCTTAGGATGTTTACAGGGTCAAGGATCTGTTTAAGGTATGGTTTTTGGTTTTTAGTGTAACATTTTGGCTAAAATAACATATTTAACCGCAAAGCTAAGGAGATTGTTTTTGGTGCACACGAGACGACGACACTCCTATTAAAATGTCTTTGTTATCTCAGCTTCTTCTACCTTCTCAAAAATAAAAAATAACACTTCCCACCTTAAATTAAATTTATTTTTAATATCTAGTATTTGTTAATTGTTGAATATCACAGATAAAATTTAGAAGTGCCAATATTAATTCGGATCAGTGTAATAAATTGTAGAAAGTTGTTTAATTCTTTTACAGTAATAATTTTAAATGTCAGAAGTATTTATTTATGTAAATATACATTAATGCATTAATACAATACAGTATATAATCTGAGAGAACGTAGATAGACGAACTGTTGTTGATTGGTTTTGAAGTGCGGATGCAGTTAAGTGACTTCAAAGGGATTTATTGCGTGGCTGGCATAGTACAGTGTTCAAGTTATTATTAACTAGGACTATCTTCCCACTCTTTTCTCATCTACGTCTCTTTCTTTTCGTTTCATCTAGTTTTTGCTTCCTAAAATTTCAGTGTTGGAAATCATTCTTTAATTCTAACATGATAAATATATTTTTATTCATTGTTCTAAATTTTCATACAAATTAATTCTTAAATTTTATAATCAAATGGATATGATATTTTTAATATAATTATGTTAAATTATTTTTATATATCAAATGTTGTTTTCACTAAGTGACATATTTAAGTTTAAATACTAATTTAAAATATTGTTTAATACACATACCAATTAGTTATATCTATTTATTTTTAGATGGACAATCAAATTTTAATTTCATGTCTAAATTTAAGAATTAAAAATATATTTAATTTATATATATATATATATATATATATATATATATATATATATATGTTTTGGTTGATATTCATGAACGTAAAGAAGTCGAGAAAAATGAAAAAGAATTTTTAAATCTTTTCAAATACTAAAAGTAATTTAGATAATTGATGAGTGTTTCGAATTGCATAAACAATATTAGGTGACACTTACAATTAAAAAACACGAGTCCTCTAACGATCACATGTAAAGGTTGAGAAAAAATAATATATATTAATTAAATTTATATTTTTTAAATTTATTTAAATGAATTTATTTTAAATCTAAATTTACATTTGATTTTAAATTAAATTCACTTAATTGAATTAAATTTAAATTGGATTTGTTTTGAATTTTAAAAATCTAATATAGGTACATTTAATTTAAGTCAAGACAGTTGAGAAGTAGGTTGAATTAAGTTGATCAGATTCAAGGTTTAACAAAGTCAAATAAAGGTGAAGCATTAATTGAGTTAGTCTAAGATTAAGGTTAAGTAATGTCAATCAAGACAAAGTTGAGTTTATCTCGGTCGAAGATCAAATTGAATTGATTGGGATCGAAGGTCGAGCTAAGTAGGTCGGAGTCGAAGGTAGAGTAAAATTGACCTAATTGAAGATCAAGTGAAGTCAGCTAGAGTCAAAGGTCGAGTAGAGTCGGCTCGAATCAAAGGTCGATTAGAGTTGGCTCAAGCCAAAGGTCAAGCTGAGTTAAACCAAATCGAAGGTCAAGCCAAGAGTTCCCTAACCGAAGGTTAACCCAAATCAGCCTATACCATAGGTCAACTTAAATGGGTCTAGGCCAAGGGTTAATTTGAGTCGGTTCAAGCCAAAGGTTGACTTGAGTTATCCCAAGTTGAATGGTTGATTTGGATCATCTCAAGTCAAGGTCTAGCCTAGCTTAATAATCCTAAACCTAATGTCAAACTAAGTTGGTATGATCCTTTGTCGACCGACACCTAAGTTGAGCCGAATCAACCCAAGTCTAAATGGAGTCGAGTTGGCATGAACCTAAGAAGAGTCAAGTCAATCTGAATCAAAAATGTCTCTAGTTTTTTTAGACCAATGTTGAGGTGAGACAGTCCAGACCCAAGTTAAATCAAGTTATCCTACAAAACCATTATGAGGTGTTCCCTTAAATCTTAAACTATGATAGTCTTTACTCTTAGAGTTCTTCTTGAATCTCGATATTTTGTGTTGTTTTGGGAATGAGGTACCTGCACACACACATGATTGACTATTTTTCTATCAAGAAAACTTTCTCATATCTCGAAGGCATTTTCCATTATATCATTCCCTTAACTATGTTCTTTTTTCTTTTATGTAATTTTATTCCATGTGTATCAAATCATTTTATCATTTTACTTTTTTTAATATTTTTATTTTTATTAGAATATTATTTTGATAATTTTTATATAATTATTTTTGTTTTCTAATTCGCTCTCATAAATATAATTCTACCTCCATAATTATATAAAGATATTTCATTTACTCTAATATAATGATTTAATGCTATTGTCATGAATCTTGTTAAATCCTTTAACATCATCTAATTAGAAAGGGTTAAATATGTTTTTAGTCCCTAAACTATTGGCTGTTTCTGGTTTTCGTCCCTCTTCCTAAGTAAGGTACAATTTGGTCCTCATTCTTTAGAAAAACGTTCGTTTTAGTCCTCAAAATTTTGTTTTTAGTCCTCGTTTTAGTCCTCAAAACGTTCGTTTTTTCGACTAAAACGAACGTTTTTTAAAGATTGAGGACTAAATTGTACCTTACTTTGGAAGAGGGACGAAAACCAGAAACGGTCAATAGTTTAGGGACTAAAAACATATTTAACCCAATTAGAAAAAATGAATTAGATAAAATGAAAAGTTAATGTATAAATTTGAATTATTATTAGTTTAATAAATTTTTCTCTACGATTCAATATAATCTTTATTTATTATAAGATGTTGGAAATCCCACATCGACTAAAGATAAGACGAATTTATAATATATAAGTGAGATGCAAACCACCTTACAAGTCGATTTTATGGGATTGAGTTAGACTTAAACCTACTTTCTAATATAAAAAAAATTAACAAATAGATATTTGAAATGTTTTTAAATTTGAATATTTATTTTTATTTTATATATTTTTTAAAATATTAACTTTACCAACTTTGTTTAATTTATTTTTACAAAATTATAAATATTTTTGTTATCATGAAATTTTATTTGTGTAATTGTAATATATTTTATCTTTCAATTTTACCCAATTATTATTTGATATTTTGATTTATAGTTTATTATTATAATTTATCTTTAAATATTTGACACTCAAAATGAGAATATATCCTTATATTATTAAATATTTGAAAATATTATATTTTATTTGACATTATTTTTTTTTATAAAAAATAATTAATTGATATTAAAACAATAAAAAAAAGACAATACGGTATAGTTATATCTTTTGCAAAAAAAAAAATAAGGATGAGATTGAAACAAAAATCTTATATTTAAATATAGAGAAGAAGATGACGATTAATTCTTACTTTAGAAATAAATATAAAATAATAAATTCTCGTTTCATTTCTATATATTCCATAAAGTGAGTACTCTAAAATAGCATAAATATTTACGAAGTTGGTGTTAGTATTAATCTACTTAGCCAAACTAATTACTAGACTTAAAACTATACCAAAATCATAAGGAGAATTTAATTGTATACCTTTTTTAACATATTAAATTAGGTGAGATTAACGGAATTTTCATCTATTGTCTAATAGGGAAAGACTTGAAAGCCTCTTAGTCTAGTGTATTGCTTTTATTTCCGTCTTTTGCAAAGAAAAAAAATTGATAAAAGAGCTTGTTAATTTCAAATCTAATCAACATAAACATTCTTCCTCCCCAACACAATACTCTTCTTTGTGCACCTTCACTTTCCACAAAAGGGAGAAACTTTGCTCCTTTTAGATCTTGTTCTTTTGAGTGGATTTGAAGAAGTGGATTTGAGGGGATTTGAGAGGATTTGAAGATAATTTTTTTTGTCGTTTTTTTGAGCGAGTTTGGAGGTAAATAAGAGTGAATTTGAAAATAAAATTTTTGAGAATTAGTATAGAATTGTATTGACGTGACAAATTAAAAAAAATTATTTTCAAATTCACTCTCATTTACTTCCAAATTCGCTCAAAAAAACGACAAAAAAATTATCTTCAAATCCTCTCAAATCCCCTAAAATCCACTCCCTCAAATCCACTCAAAAAGGTTATTTAAATTGTAAGATTTTTTTTATATAATGAAACTAACTTGGTATAGTCCTATAGAAGAGGGAAATTATAATTTCCAATTTAAACTTTTACATGTCATTTATATATAAACTGAATCTGCATCATTGTTATTATATAGTAGCATTATTACTTGTATTGCGTAATATTGTCTAAAACACTTAATCATTAAACCTTTAATAATTATTCTACTTTTGACATAAATGTAAGTATGATTTCTCAATTCCTAAAAAAGTTTGTAAAACTAATACATGATAACGGCATACGAGTATATATCATTGCATTATAAAAATAGAAGAATTGTTAGAGATATATGCTTTATGTATACAATTGATTTATTGGCTGAATAACATTTTTCTAGGTTGCTGCAAGGAACCTGGTAATCGATTGAGGATATGGTAATCAATTGCTTGATATATGCTATTATGAGTAATGAATTAATCATGCATGTCAATCGATTACTAGCCTAATAAAGCTTTGGTGACATATTAACGTGGACTATAATAGTGGATTAGCACTCTCCAATAAAACAAATTAAAAGGAGGTGTAAATCAAGCACCGTGTTCATCGTCAATTTATTAGTAAA